TGGTGTTTCCCTCCCAACATTTACAATCGACCTCACCACGCGTTTAGTTATGTGCCTGCTGCTAAGGATGTCCACGTGATAAGTTGCCTTATCACGTGGACATCCTTAGCAGTGTCTCAGTGTCCCGGTGTCTCAGTGTCCCAGAGGCAGGTCGCTTCTGACAAAGGGCTCAGTGGGGCCTCACCACACCAAAGACAGAGATACCCCGTGTAACCTTAACGGGCTGTTGGGGCAAGTGCAGTGCGCGGCGACCTTTGAAGGCCAGAACGGCACACGAGGGAGTGGGCGGCCCCGCCTGCACCCGCCCATGGACGGCCCTGCACGTGACGTGCACGTCACGTTCACGTCACGTGCACGTCACGTGCACGTGGCAGTTGCCCAACACGAAAGTGGTGGCGGGTTTAACGACAAAGCAAAGTTTAATTCCTCGGTCAACGCTCGGGTTTTTTTTAATCCTTTACAGGAATGATCCTTCGATGAAATTGAACGTGAGCCCCCCCCCCCCCCCGCCCACACATCGCCACCCCCCCACACCTTTGCAAGTCGGCCCACATAGTCCGGGGGGGGGAGGGGCGCTTGGGGAGAAGGGGTCACGTGCACACAGAGCAGCAACCACCACGTGGTCACGTAGCCCTCTGCGTCACGAAGGAAGCCACAAGGATCCCCCGTGTAGCCTGTAACAGACTGTTGGGGCAAGTGCTGTTAGCGAGCAGCACCTGTGAAGGCCGGCACGGCACGCGAGGGGGTGGGTGGCCCAGCACCACGCCCGGCCGCCTTTGTCTCCCAAGTGACAATCTTTGTGTACACCGCTCCGGGTACTCATTTGAGGCCGAGCCGACCTAGGGGAGGCCCAGGACCGGTGTAGATAATCGTCACCGGCGTTGGCCGTGAGCGGGAATCGAACTCGGGTGGCGGCGGGTTCGTGGCGCTAACCGCTGCACCACCGCTCCCCGCACACTCTACCACCACCAGCACCACGGAGGACGGCTGAATTCATGAAACGCTGCACACGCATCCTGTGTGTGTGTGTGCAGGTGAGTGCCGGAATGATCGTGGGGAGCCGTGGTGGAGGCGATCGCACCGCGCGCTACCAACCCGGCACGCCCCGACTGCGATTCCCGCTCACGAACCAAACAGCGGACAGCGAATATTCGAACCGGTCGTGTGCCTCCTCCCCCCCAGGTCGACTGAGCCTTAAACGAGTACCCGGTGCGGTGTCTGTAGAACGAGAGCACAGGGGAGACAAAGGCGGGTGGGTGGGTGGCCGTGGTGCTGGCATACCCACCCCGTCGTGTGCATCGCTGGCTCCCACTCACAGCACTTGCCCCACGGTCTGTTCAAGGCTACACGGGGGGTGGGGGATCTTTTGTCTTTGCCCTGACAACAACAATAACAACAAGGTGGGTGACAACTCGCTGGAGTCGTGCGAGTCACTCGATTCCGTCATCTTAACAACGGGGTCAGCTGGCAACGCGTGGAACCGCAAGAGGCTGGGGACAGAAATGAAACTTGAGAGCGCTTCTGAGCGAGTATCAATGTCCTCATCACCACCACCACCAAATGAACATCAACAATTAGTATCGTCAACTAAGATCTGTGTGCTGCGTTCCGGATGCTGTCGAGTGCCGCGGCCGTGGCCCTGGGAGCAACGCGACTTGACGGAAGGCATCGCGGCGGTGGGGAGGGGAGAGGTGGGGAGGGGAGGGTGGTGAGGAGGGTGGGGAGAGGGGAGGGTGGGGAGAGTGGAGGGTGGTGAGGTGGGTGGTAAGGAGGGAGGGGAGGGTGGTGAGGAGGGTGAGGTGGGTCGAGGGGAGGGTGGGGAGAGTGGAGGGTGGGGAGAGGTAGGTGGTGAGGGTGGGGAGAGGAGAGGGTGGTGAGGAGGGAGGGGAGATGGAGGTGGGGAGAGGGGAGGGTGGTGAGGAGGGTGGTGAGGATGGAGGAGGGTTGAGAGGAGGCTGGGGAGGGGAGGGTGGTGAGGAGGGAGGTGGGTTGAGGGGAGGGTGGTGAGGAGGGTGGTGAGGAGGGAGGTGGGTTGAGGGGAGGCTGGGCAGAGGGAGAGAGTAAGACGCTTCAACCCAAAGCGACACCGGCATCACGTGGTGCCCCGTGCTGCCCGATTTGCCGAGCCGAGCCAGGCGGTGACACTGGCTGCCCCCCCCCCCCCCCCCCGATGGAGACAGCCGACTTGCGGGATCGGGTTCAAGCAGGAGCCCAGGTTTATTAACGTCCAGCAAACGTTGTTCCCGATTCTCTCGCGGCACGGATTTGGTTCTACAGCGCGAAAAGTGGGGACCAATCTGGCATCTACAGAGCCGAGCCGGCTTGGCACGCCTCGGTCGTGCAGTGGAAACCCCTCCCCATGAATCTACAGGGATGGTTCACCCCCACTCCTCACGCAGCGTGGGTGGAGAGGGCGCGCGTTACTGTCGTGCGCGTCTGTGCGTCAAGGTGAGGTTTGTCCACCACAGTAGCTTGGGGAGCCCTTCATCCAGCAGTGGATAGACCCTGGGTGGTGGTCTTCATCCAACAGTGGATAGACCCTGGGTGGTGGTGGTCTTCATCCAGCAGTGGATAGACCCTGGGTGGTGGTGGTCTTCATCCAGCAGTGGATAGACCCTGGGTGGTGGTGGTCTTCATCCAGCAGTGGATAGACCCTGGGTGGTGGAGCCCTTCATCCAGCAGTGGATAGACCCTGGGTGGTGGTCTTCATCCAGCAGTGGATAGACCCTGGGTGGTGGTCTTCATCCAGCAGTGGATAGACCCTGGGTGGTGGTCTTCATCCAGCAGTGGATAGACCCTGGGTGGTGGTCTTCATCCAGCAGTGGATAGACCACGGGGCCCATGACGATTGACAACACGTGCTCCATGGGGTGCGGTGCCCGAATCGATTAGATTCAAATCTGTGCGTAGGATCGATTTGTGCATCTCGTACTATATAGTCCAGGTACTATATATTCCCGGCACTATATAGTCCCGGCACTATATAGTGCCGTCACTATATAGTCCCGGCACTATATAGTTCAGGAGCTATATAGTCCCGGTACTATATATTCCCGGCACTATATAGTCCCGGCACTATATAGTCCCGTCACTATATAGTTCAGGAGCTATATAGTGCCGTCACTATATAGTCCCGGTACTATATAGTCCCGGTACTATAGTCTCGTACTCCACGAGACGGCGCATCGTCACGCGGCGGCGTCACAAGCGCCCCTGCGGCCGTCTGGAACGCTCTTTTCCCTACGGTATGAGGAGCCGCTGGAGAGATGTGCACTTTTAACTCGTCGCCGAGACCGAGAACTGCTTTTTTTTGCGTTTGGTTTGCCGTCCGTCCCGCAGCGCCTCCCCACGGCACGGCCGGCTACGTACGGTGCCAACGAAGTTGAACGGACGCACGCACACGGTGAGACGAACACGGCACGCTGGTTCCACTGAAAATAATTGTATTGTCCGGTCCCAGTCTGCAGAGGCGGGTCAAAACCGCAATGTATTCATAATCAAGGGTTTTGGGTGAGGTCGCGTAAAAGTTGTGTCGTTAAGCCCGCCACCACCCGACACGGCCAACTCGTAAAGGGTTGTCACGTCAACAGAACGTGGCCAAGTCGTCACTAGTACAGCACTAACCGGTTGTGTGTGGGAAGAGCCAAGACACAACCCTTACTAGTTGGCTGTGTCGGGTGGTGGCGGGTTTAACGACACGTTTATATATTTACGCGATCCAACCCAAAAAACCTCGATTATGGATATTGGTCGCGACAGGCTGCTACGTGTTGAACTAACACGATGTGTTGAGCTTCGCGGGTTACCGAGACTTTCCACAGCCACCTGCCCTCCCCACCAACTTGAATAGTCAGATCCATGGTGACCTTTGCCTCTGGTTCTGCAGTGGGGGAACAAAAAAAAAACCAGAGCCTCCCTGACCCGTGCCAGCTTGGCTCGGCACGGCCCAGTTGTGCAGTGGGAAAAAGGGGGGGGGGGGTGGGGGCGGCTTTGACTCAGGCCGTGAAGCCGGGAGCCAGACTCGAGATTCAAGTTGGCCTCTCTCACGTGGGTTCGCTCCCGTTATGGCTCCTCAGCAGCGCTCCAGGGCAATCGTTTAGAAGCTCATCGGCGTGGTGGGGGGGGGGGGGGGGTGGCGGTGGGAGCCCCCCGGATTGTGCCGTGCCCGTCGAGACGCCCACACGCCGTCGCCACTTTCGTGCGACGCCGCCGGGAGCTCGTCGGTCACGGCGAGCGTCGGACGTCCAAGGCGGCGTCGCTCGCCGGATGAACCGGGGGGGGACCGGGAGCAGGCGGAACGCGCCGACGCCCCGCACGAGTAGCTGCGGCTGGCGGCAGTAACCGGCGTCGACGAAGCTCTCGCGCCTCCTCTGTTTGACCGCACGAACCGCCGACGAGGAATTCGTTTCGCAGCCCTGTTTGGGTCAATCCGCTGCTGGATGAAGGCCCGTCCCCCCCGCTCCTCCCCACGCCGCGTCGACCGCGGTGGGAGGAGCGAGGCGGGGGGGGGGAGGTGGCGTCGTCTCGACCACATTCACGGGCAACAGCCGACACGCCGCCCCAACTCCTCCGCCGAGCCCACGGGCGACGGCTCGGTTCGCTCCTCTCGTAATCGCCGGGCGACTCGCTCTCGTCCCCAGCGGCCGCTTTGTCCGCGTCCGAGCACGCAGTTGAGCGACTGGGGGGGGGGGGTCTCCCCCCCCCCCCCCTCACCGGTACAATCCGCCGCGAGCCGAGTCCGTGCCTCCACGCCGACAGGAAGCGACCCGGTTGCAGAGAGACGTCCACGCGCGAAGCTACGCAGAGAGTTGCATGCGACCCAGCTCGGGTCAAGCAGCCGTGGGATTCGCAGGCGGGACTGAACATTCACTCCTTCACTCGTTTATTTAATTCCTCCACCCCCACCCCCCCCCCCTCCCCCCACCCCCCACAGGTTGTCTGTGCCATGTGTGCGTGTGGAGCTGGTGTGTAGCGTGTGAGTGTGGAGCTGGTGTGTAGCGTGTGAGTGTGGAGCTGGTGTGTAGCGTGTGAGTGTGGAGCTGGTGTGTAGCGTGCGAGTGTGGAGCTGGTGTGTAGCGTGCGAGTGTGGAGCTGGTGTGTAGCGTGCGCTGGAGCGCGTCGGGGTTTCTCCACGGCGGGGCCGCCAGCGTGCCGCTCCAGCGTGGCTGCCCGTGCGGGCCGCTTCGGCGTCGAGTTGTACGGTCGCTTTGTCTCCGTCGTGTGCGCAAGTCGGCGTCGTCCAGGGCCGCTCGTCACTCCTTGTCCTGCACCAGCTTCAGGACCTTGCCGATAGCGATGGTTTTTCCTGTGTGGTGGAGGGGGGGGGGGGGGCGGGCGGAGATGTCGGGTGGAGACGCGAGATACGGAGGAGGGGAGGGAGGCGAGGAGATCCCCCTGAAGCCCCAACATCCCGTCGGGGCAAGTGCTGTGAGCGAGTTTCGCCACCTGCGGAGGCCGGCACGGCGATGTTGACACACCGCACCGGGTGCTCGTCTGGGGCCGAATCGACCGAGGGGGGAGGCCCCGGGGACCGGTAAAGATAATTGGCGCTGGTGATGGCCGTGAGCGGGAATCAAATGCGGGTTGTCGGGTTTGCGGCACAGCGTGCCAACCGCTGCACTACCGCTTCCCAACACCCTGCGTGGGTGGGTACTTGGGTGGGTGCGTGGGTGGGTGGGGGTGGGGTGGTATGGGTGGATGCGTGGGTGGGTGGGGGTGGTATGGGCGGGTACCTTCGTCACGCAGGGTGAAGCGCCCCATCTGGGGGAAGTCCTTAAAGGTCTCGAGGCAGATGGCACCGACGGCACGGAGGCGTGCGATGCACACCTGGTCCTGCTTCACGAAGCGCGGCCGCGTCTGGCTCTTCTCACCGCTCTTCTTGTCCACCAGGCACAGCAACGCCTGCGGCACGCAGCGGGCACAGCGATAGCCGCTCGCTCGCTCGCTCGCTCACCGTCCCACGAGGCTCGCCCGCCCGCCCGCCCGCTCGTCCGCTCACTGTCCCCCACTAGGCTTGCTCACTCGCTCACCCAACCCGCTCGCGCGCCGACCCCGCTCGACCCACTCGCTCGACCAACCGCTCGTGCGACAACCCGCCCACTCGACCACCTACTACTCGCTTACTCGACCGCTCACTCCCTCACCGAACCATTAAATCGCCAATCCACCCTCCTGCTCTCCCATCCACGAGCTCACCCGCTCAACCGCTGGTGCCCCAACCCGCTCACTCACTCGCTCAACCGCTGGTGCGCCAACCCGCTCACTCACCCGCTCCACCGCCACCGACCCGCGCGCCTGCTCCCCCCACCCATCCGCTCGCTCACGAGGAGTGCGACTGGCTGGCCGAGCGCAGCGAAACCGAGTGCCATTTCCGCAATGTTCCCGTCTCCCCTGCGTCTTGCCGCGTCTGCCGCTGTGTGTCAGCCCCGCGGCTGTGTGGACGCGCACTCCCGCCCACGCACCTTGATCTGTACTTCCTCCACGCACGTGTGGATGTGCAGGACAGCGTTGTAGCCGGGGCAGATAATCGACTTGTGTTCAATGATCACGATCTGTGGGCAAAGAAGCACAACAGAGACAAAGATCCTCCGTATAGACTTGAAAAACTGCTGCGGCAAGTGCCGTTAGCGGGTAGCGCCGCCCATGAAGGCCGGCACGGGATGGGTGGCCGACACTGAAGTGTTTGCACACCGCACCGGGTACTCGTTTGAGGCTCGGTCAACCTAGGGGAGGCCCAGGACCGGTTCAGATAATCGTCACCGATGGTGGCCTTGAGGAGGGGATCGAACTCGGATCGCCGGGATCGTAGCGCAGTGCGCTAACCGCTACCGCTCTGACACAGACAAGTAAAGACACACACCGACACACACAGACCACCTAATAGGGGACAGCACGCCGAGACAAGCCAGTACACGGCACTCCGCAGAGAGGTACGGCACTTGGTACAAACGGCAAATAAATACGGCACGGGACCGAACCGGTCCTCGGCTCACGGCCACCACGAGCGATGGTGATCTGAACCGGTCCTCGGTCGCCCCCTAGGTCGACTCGGCCTCAACGCGAGCGCCCAGTGGCAGTGTGTGACTCAGCCTCAAAGTGAGCGCCCAGTGGCGGTGTGACTCAGCCTCAACGTGAGCACCCAGCGGTGTGTGACTCAGCCTCAACGTGAGCACCCAGTGGCGGTGTGACTCAGCCTCAACGTGAGAGCCCAGTGGCGGTGTGTGACTCAGCCTCAACGTGAGCACCCAGTGGCGGTGTGACTCAGCCTCAACGTGAGAGCCCAGTGGCGGTGTGTGACTCAGCCTCAACGTGAGCACCCAGTGGCGGTGTGTGACTCAGCCTCAACGTGAGAGCCCAGTGGCGGTGTGTGACTCAGCCTCAACGTGAGCACCCAGTGGCGGTGTGTGACTCAGCCTCAACGTGAGAGCCCAGTGGCGGTGTGTGACTCAGCCTCAACGTGAGCACCCAGTGGCGGTGTGTGACTCAGCCTCAACGCGAACACCCAGTGGTGGTGTGTGACTCAGCCTCAACGTGAGCACCCAGTGGCGGTGTGTGACTCAGCCTCAACGCGAGAGCCCAGTGGCGGTGTGTGACTCAGCCTCAACGTGAGCACCCAGTGGCAGTGTGTGACTCAGCCTCAACGCAAGAGCCCAGCAGTGTGTGACTCAGCCTCAACGTGAGCACCCAGTGGCGGTGTGTGACTCAGCCTCAACGCGAGAGCCCAGTGGCGGTGTGTGACTCAGCCTCAACGTGAGCACCCAGTGGCAGTGTGTGACTCAGCCTCAACGCAAGAGCCCAGCAGTGTGTGACTCAGCCTCAACGTGAGCACCCAGTGGCGGTGTGTGACTCAGCCTCAACGTGAGCACCCAGCGCTGCGGTCTTTGAACACCGCCGCTGGGGAGACGGAGGCAGCCGGGGGGCCGCCTCAACAGGCGCTCGTGCCAGGCTAGGTGGACCACCCCACCTGCGCGTCGAAGGTGCAGCCCGTGTGACACAGGTTGGCGGCGTCGCAGAGCACAAAGCCCGGCAGGATCTCCTCCTCCTCGATGCCTTTCAGCCTCAGCTTCAGGTTCTCGCCGGGCCCCGCCGCCTCCGTCTCCACCTCGTCCGATAGGAGGGACAGCACCTCCACGTTGTGCTGTCAGAGAGAGAGAGGGAGGGAGTGACATCATTTCACAGTGGTGACAGCACCTCACGTTGTGCTGTCACAGAGAGAGGGAGATGGAGGGGGAGGGAGTGACATCATTTCACAGTGGTGACAGCACCTCCACGTTGTGCTGCCAGAGAAAGAGGGAGATGGAGGGGGAGGGAGTGACATCATTCCACAGTGGTGACAGCACCTCCACGTTGTGCTGTCAGAGACAGAGGGAGATGGAGGGGGAGGGAGTGACATCATTCCACAGTGGTGACAGCACCTCCACGTTGTGCTGCCACAGAGAGAGAGGGAGAGGGAGGGGGAGGGAGTGACATCATTTCACAGTGCAGTAGACAGCACCTCCACGTTGTCCTGTCACAGAGAGAGAGGGAGATGGAGGGGGAGGGAGTGACATCATTCCACAGTGGTGATAGCACCTCACGTTGTCCTGTCACAGAGAGAGAGGGAGATGGAGGGGGAGGGAGTGACATCATTTCACAGTGGTGACAGCACCTCCACGTTGTGCTGCCACAGAGAGAAAGGGGGGGGGGAGATGGTGAGAGAGAGGGAGAGAGTGATGTGGGAGTTGAGTGAAAATGTCCTGGGCCTCGCTGAGGTCACGTCGGCCTCAAACGAGTATCTGGTGCGGTGCACAAACATCACCGCCCGCCCCCTCGTGTACCGTGCCGGCCTTCATAGGTGCTTCTTCGCTAACAGCACTTGCCACAACGATCTGTTAAGGCTATACCGTGGATCTTTGTTTACATGTGTGTGTATATGCACACTGCACATGTGTATATGTGTTTGCGTTTGTACGAGTGTGCGTTTAAAGGTGTACATGTGCGTATATACTTACAGATATGTGTGTGTGTGTGTACATCTTCAAAACTAAACTATAAACTATTTTTATTTTACCCAACAAGTCCCGCTGGGCTGCGTCACTCTTTCTCAGCGATGACCTGGCCACAAGCAATAGCTCAAGAAAGTGGGCTGCTCATCACGTGAACATGTATCGCTGTCAAATACTCTGAGCGCGTGGTGACATCGATTCTAAATGTGGAGGGAAAAACCGAAGGACCTGGAGAATAATCCACGCCCCCACAGGGAGACACGCAAACTCCAAACATACAGCAGGCGTCAAAGGGTCACGATCAAACCCACAACCTCCTGTATACCAGGCGAGGGAGTTAACATCTCATAGCCACCGTGGCATCCCTTGTGTGTGCGCGGGCATGGTCCAGGCCACACCACCCCCTCGTGTGCCGTGCCGGCCTTCACGGGTGCTACTCGCTAACAGCACTTGCCCCAACAGTCTGTTACAGGCTACACGGGGGATCTTTGTCTTTGTAGGTGCTACTCGCTAACAGCACTTGCCCCAACAGTCTGTTACAGGCTACACGGGGGATCTTTGTCTTTGTTCATCTTAGGAGCCTCACCTTATTGGGCATCATGACGAGATGCTGCCCCTTGACGATGCTGCCCGACTCCAGCTTCCCCAGCACCACTGTGCCCATGTCCTGCGGGACGAGGAGAGACGTCATGAGGTGTCTCGACGTTCGTGGGCAGAAGAACAGAGCCAAGCGAGAGCGGGTGGTGGTGGTCGCGGCAGTGGTGGTCTTGGTGGTAGCGGTCGTGGTGGTGGTGCCAGTGGTTCTGGTGGCGGCTGCGGTGGTCGTGGTAGTAGTGGAGATGGTCGTGGTGTTTGTGGCAGCGGCGGTAGTGGTGTTGGTGGCGGCAGCCATACTGGTGTTGCAGGTGGTGGTCGTGGTGTTGGTGGCAGCGGTGGTACTGGTGAGGTAGTAGCTACCTTGTACTTGTCGACGATGGGGATGCGGATGAGTCCGTCTGGCGAGCGGTACATGCACGGTAGGCTCTCCAGGTAGGGGATGAAGGGCAGCCCGCTGCAGTGTGGAACACGCTCACACACTTAGTCATACACACGCACTCGCATACATACATGCATTCTAGATTTAAAGCTTTCGTGACTGCAAGGATCCGTACTCTTTGGTTCTATTCGGTAAAGTCACGTAGGTAAAAAAATAAAACAACAAAAATCTCGAGGACAGCGCTGGTCCCTTCACCTGATGAAGGCCGCTTGTGTTGTGGCCGAAACGTCGTGATTTTTGTTGTTTTATTTGTTACCTATGTGACTTTACCGAATAGAACCAAAGAGTATACATACATACAAAGAACCCCCGTGTAGCCTGAACAGACCGATGGGGCAAGGGCCGTTAAGCGAGTAGCACCTACGAAGGCCGGCGCTGTGGCACACGAGGGGGGTGGGTGAACAGCAACCACGCCCGGCCGTCTTTGCCTCCCCAGTGGCGACGTTTACTACTACACACCGCTACACCAGGCTATTCATTTGAGGCCGAGTCGACCTCGGGGAGGTCCACGACCGCCCACTCACTCGCCTCCCCCGCACCTCCGATACATACACAGATACTTTTGGACCGGTTCAGACGATCGTCACCGGTGTTGGCCCCATAACCACAGCACATGCTAACAAGTGAATGCGCGAAGGACTGAATGCGTGAATGAATGGTGTGGAGGTTGGAATGTGTCCCTGATGAAGTGAATGAGTAAATTAATTGAGCAAATTAATGAAGTGAATGGAGGTGGTTTGATTGCCCCCTCATGTGAATTAGTGAATGAATGCACGAGTGAATGAGAATAGCGAGCGAATAATGAATTGATGAGTAAACCAAGTAAGCAAATCATTGAATGAGCGAGTGAGCGCCGAGGATCTCACCAAGTGCGTGCAGTGAGTGAATAGGTGAATGTATGAGCCAATCACTGAATGAGTGAATTAATGGGTGGGTGAGTGATTGAGTGAATTAATGAGCGAGCGAGGGGGGTGAGTGCGCAAATCAGAATCTTGATTTCGACTGCAGGAGGAGGAATCCGATGTGCGATGAAGCTCTTTTGCAACAGATGTCCAGAAGGGGCACGGGGTAAGAAAACCACTGAATGAGTGAGTGAGTGAACGAATGAGTGAACGAGTGAATGAACGAGTGAATGAACGAGTGAGTGAACAGGCGACTAGGTGAGTGGGTGAACGAGTGAGTGAATGGGCAACTAGGTGAGTGGGTGAACGAGCGAACGAGTGAATGAGTGAGTGAACGAGTGAGTGAACGAGTGGGCGACTAGGTCAGTGGGTGAACGAGTGAGTCAACGAGTGAACGAGTGAGTGAGTGAACGAGTGGGCGACTAGGTGAGTGGGTGAACGAGTGAGTGAATGAGTGAACGAGTGGGCAACTGAGTGGGTGAACGAGCGAACGAGTGAGTGAACGAGTGAGTGAACGAGTGAGTGAACGAGTGAGTGAATGAGTGAACGAGTGGGCGACTAGGTGAGTGGGTAAACGAGTGAATGAGTGAGTGAACGAGTGAGTGAATGAGTGAACGAGTGGGCGACTAGGTGAGTGGGTGAACGAGTGAGTGAACGAGTGAACGAGTGGGCGACTAGGTGAGTGAGTGAATATGTGAAACACGTGTTTGGAGTATACGTTTAAGATTACTTGCCACTTCGTTGAGCTATCAATGTTTGTGTCCATGTCGCTTATGAATGAGAAGCTTATAGCTCAGTTGGCTTTAGCTGGACATAACCAAAATCTCGATTTAATGCTTCCGTGACTGCAGGAATTCATACTCCTTGGGTCTTTCGTCACGTACATAGGTTCAGAGAAAATAACAAAAAAAACGACGACGTTTCCATCGCAACGTAAGCAGTCGTCATCAAGCTGGAATAAGAGAGAGAGAAGATGATGATGATGATGACCGCTCGTGTTGCGATCGAAACGTCGTAGGTTTTTGTTATTTTCTTTGAACTTGTGTACGTGACTTACCAAATATGGTAATATAAAGTTGAGTTTTATTTGTGTGTGTATATTTTTTTAAAGTGATCTATTTACATTTCCTATACTTTGCACTGCTATTGTGTTTTTGTACTGTTAGTTGTTGTGACGTTCTGACCCCGTGCCCGCCACTGGACCATCTGTGAAGAGATTCACGGCTCTCATGATTCCTCCAGGATAAATAAATATTCTGATTCTGATTTCTGAATTAATTAATGCGCGAGTGAGTGGGTGGGTGAGTGAGCGAGTGAATTAATTCATGCGCGAGTGAGTGGGTGGGTGAGCAAGTGAATTAATTCATGCGTGAGTGAGTGGGTGAGTGAGCGAGTGAATTAATTCATGCGTGAGTGGGTGGGTGCGCGAGTGACTTAATTCATGCGTGAGTGAGTTGGTGGGTGCGCGAGTGAATTAATTCATGCGTGAGTGGGTGAGCGAGTGAATTAATTCATGCGTGAGTGGGTGGGTGAGTGAGTGAGCGAGTGAATTAATGAACGAGTGGGTGGGTGAGCGAATCGCTTAAGTGTATGCACGTATGTTCAACTTCTTTCACACCGTGCGTAGTCTATCGTGCAAATCCGAAGTGAGTGGTGAGGACCTCACCTGTACCAGGGGCACACGGAGGAGCAGGCCTCACGGAGGTTGGCCCCCGTGAGGCCTGAGCACGGCATGAAGTGAATGTCCTTCTTGGGGTTGAAGCCGACCTTGCGCAGGAAGGGAACCAACTTCTCCTTGCACTCCTCATACCTGGACACTCGGCACACACACACAATACATGCACATTATACGCATTACATTATACACACACACATCATACACATGTTACATTATCCACACACACAATACATGCACATGAAACATATCACATTATACACACACACATCATACACACAAACCACACCATTAACAAACCACCACACCACATCACACACACACCACATCATACACACGTTACATTATACACACACACACAATACATGCACATGAAATATATCACATTATACACACACGCATCATACACACACCACATCACATCATACACACACACATCACACACACACCACACCATACACACACATCATACACACACAATACATGCACACATCATACACACAAACCACATCATACACACAAACCACACCATACACACACCACCACACCACATCACACACACACCACACCATACACACACCACATCATACACACACACCATACACACGTTACATTATACACACACACATCATACACACACCACCACACATCACACACACACATCATACACACACCACATCACACACACACATCACACACCAACCACATCACACACACCACATCACACACACACACATCACACACACCACATCACACACACAACAAAAATAAAGACAAAGATCCCCCGTATAGCCTTAACAGACTGTAGGGGCAAGTGCTGTTAGCGAGCACCTATGAAGGCCGGAACGGTACACGAGGGGGTGGGTGGCCAGCACCACGCCCGACCGCCTTTGTCTCCCTAGTGGCAATGTTTACACACCGCACCAGGTACTCATTTGAGGCTGAGTCGACCTAGGGGAGGCCCGGGACCGGTTCAGATAATCGTCACTGGTGTTGGCCGTGAGCGGGAATCGAACCCGGGTCGCCAGGTACATAGCGCTGCGCGCTAACCGCTACACTATCGCTCCCCATCACACACACACATCACACACACACACATCACACACACACCACATCACACACACTCCTATCGAGTCTCAATACTGCGAGACACGGTCTCCTGCAGCCGAGTCTCAAGGCACTGCGACTCACCTCTCCTGGCTCCAGTGCACCGTGGGGTCGTCCATCTTGTTGATGAGCACCACAAGGTGTTTGACGCCTGCCGTCTTGGCGAGCATGGCGTGCTCGCGCGTCTGCCCGCCCCGCTCGAAGCCCGTCTCAAACTCTCCCTTCCGCGCCGAGATCACCTGGGGGTGGGGTCACGCGTACAGCAGCAACGCGCGGGCGGGGGGGGGAGTTGGAGGAGTTGGGAGCTCGTCACCAACAGGGACCACACAGACCGTCGGCGATTTGCCCCGTGGTAATTTTTCGCGAATCGATTACGCCGGATTACAGGGAAGACAGCCCGATTGATTTCCCGGTTAGGTTCGCGTCCGGATCGTGTTTAGGTTGGGTTTAGGTTGGGTTTGGGGCGTGTTCGAGGTGGGTTTAGGTTGGGTTTGGGTTGGGTTTGGGGTGGGTTCGAGGTGGGTTTAGGTTGGGTTTGGGTTGGGTTTGGGGTGGGTTCGAGGTGGGTTTAGGTTGGGTTTGTGTCGGGTTTGGGTCGTGTTTAGGTTGGGTTTAGGTTGGGTTTGGGTTGGGTTTGGGGTGGGTTCGAGGTGGGTTTAGGTTGGGTTTAGGTTGGGTTTGGGTTGGGTTTGGGGTGGGTTTGGGTCGTGTTTAGGTTGGGTTTAGGTTGGGTTTGGGTTGGGCTTGGGGTGGGTTCGAGGTGGGTTTAGGTTGGGTTTGGGGTGGGTTCGAGGTGGGTTTAGGTTGGGTTTGTGTAGGGTTTGGGTCGTGTTTAGGTTGGGTTTGGGGCGTGTTCGGGGTGGGTTCGAATCTGGTTCGGGTCAGGTGTGGGTCGGGCATGGTTCGTGTCCGGTGATATCCCTCAACCCGTTCGGTGCCCCGCGCTGGGCAACCGCGGACAGAGCCAGCGAGGGCCGCCGCCGCCGCCGGCCTCTCTCTCGCGTACCAGCACGGCGAGGTCGGCCTGCGACGCTCCGCCGATCATGTTGGGCACGAAGCTCTTGTGGCCGGGCGCGTCCAGGATCGTGAAATGTTTGTTTGACGTCTCGAAGTAGGCGCGCCCCACCTCCACCGTCTTGCCCTTCTCGCGCTCCTCCACGTTCGTGTCCAGGGCCCACGACAGGTACCTGGCACGCGCGTGGGAACACTTTTTTTTTTTTTTCCACCGGCACGTCCGAGCCGAGCCAGCGCCAAGGCCACCTCGCCGTACACGTGGCGATTCATTTCTCCCCACTGGTGATTTGGAGAGCCGAGGCCGGAGCCAACCCGCGATGCGTTTGCCGCAAAAGGCCACCCGGCTAACGACTCGCGTGCCGGCAGCGGGCACGGCTAGGCTACTGCAGTGGACAAAAACAACCAACCCCGGTGCCTCCTGGCCTCGGCTCGGCACGGCTCGGTTGTGCAGTGGAAAATAAGTGAATAGATTCCTTCCCCGTGTAGCCGAGATAAGCGCTGTCGACCGACTCCCCACCGTGACGCACGAGGGAGTGGTGTGGCCAGAAACCGCTCCCGGCCGTCTTTGTTTGCGCACCAGGTACCAGGTACTAATTTACAGGCGAATCAATCTAAGGGTCTCACGACCGGTTCACATTTGCCACTTGTTGTTGGCCGTCAGTGGGATTCGAACCCGCGGCCGGTGGGTTCGTAGCACGGTGCGCTAACTTCTGCGGTGACACGAACACACGCACGAACGTTTATGTAAGTTGAACCTCTTTCGCATCATACGTAACCGACCGTGCTATTCAGTGGTGTAGCGGTTAGCACGCTGCACTTCAAATTCGATTACCGCTCATGGCCAACACGACTGATAATTATCTGAACCAGTCCAGCGCCTCCCCTAGGTCAACTCCTCAAATGAGTACCTGGTGCGGTGTGTAAACATCTCCACTCGGGAGACAAAGGCGGCTGGGCGTGGTGCTGGCCACCCACCCCCTCGTGTGCCGTGCTGGCTGTCATAGGTGCTGCGACTCGCTAGCAGCACTTGCCCCTACAGTCTGTTAAGGCTATCTCTGCCTTTGTCTTCGCTGCGGAGGCCACGTAGCCTCGGAGTGCACCTAGCCTGGCGCAAGCGGCGTGGTGACGTCCCACTGCCACTGAGTGGCGAATGGTGGTTGTTGTTGTGTTCCAGTGTATCCTTGAGTGTGCGCGTGTTTATCTGTGCGTTGTGTGCGTGTGTGCGTCTGTGTGTGTGCGTCTGTGTTGTGTGTGTGTCGTGTGCGTGTCTGTTGTGTCTGCTGCGTCTGTGTGTGCGTCTGTGTGTGCGTCTGTGTGTGCGTCTGTGTGTCGTGTGCGTGTCTGTCGTGTCTATCTGTGTCTGCTGCGTCCGTGTGCGCTGTCTGCATGTCCGCGGGCGTGCGTATCTGTGTGTGCGCGTGTTCGATTCTGTTGCTGCTGCTGCTGCTGCTGTTGTCGTTGTGCAGCGGAGCGAGAGCTCACCAGCTCTCCCTGCTCTTCTCTTTCGCTTCCCGCTCGTACTTCTCCAGCGTCCTCTTGTCCACCATGCCCGTCAGGTACCTGCGCGGAGCGGGCAGCACGGCGGCGACCGTTAACAGCGCCATCGGCATCCACATCCTGCCCTCCGGGAAACCCCCCCCCCCCCGGTTGCACTGGCTTCTCCACTCAGCGAACGAATACATTACGAGGTCGCACTCATTACACACAAAGTGCTCGACACAACTGAACCACGACGCCTCGCTGCTGATCTCGTTAGGCGGCATGAACCGTCGCCACGCGGACTCCGATCGCCCTCGCAGCAGCGGCATTTGACCAACCGTCGAGCAAAGATGGCGGTCACCGCATCATAGTCGCGCGGCGTTTTCAGAAGCGTTTCTGCGGCCGTCCGGAACGCTCTTCCCTTCCGATATTAGGAAGCCACTGGAGCTGTGCACTTTAAAATCATCATCATCATCTAGATTGATAAACTCGTTTGTTGGGAACTGCTTTATGTGTTGAGTTTGTTGCCCTTCCCCCACCACCTCCGATTAGTGCGGCTGGCTACGTACGGTGCATACAACATGAGCCACGTATAGCATGGCCTATCCACTGCTGGACGCCAACGGCGATCCCTCAGTCTCACGATATCGCTCCTGTCGACGTGCGAGTGGACAAGCCGATCTACATAGGGCGCCGTGGTGGCTAGGAGATGTTAACTATCTCGCCTGGTACACAGGAGGTCGTGGGTTCCATCCTGACCCTGACACCTGCTGTATATTTGGAGTTTGCGTGTCTCTCTCTCTCATCATCATCACGGTGGCTAGGAGATGTTAACTACCTCGCCTGGTACACAGGAGGTCGTGGGTTCGACTCTGCTGCTGCTGTATATTTGGAGTCTGAGTGTCTCTCATCATCATCATCATGGTGGCTAGGAGATGTTAACTACCTCGCCTGGTACACAGGAGGTCGTGGATTCCATCCTGACCCTGACACCTGCTGTATATTTGGAGTTTGCGTGTCTCTCTCTCATCATCATCACGGTGGCTAGGAGATGTTAACTATCTCGCCTGGTTACACAGGAGGTCGTGGGTTCCATCCTGACCCTGACACCTGCTGTATATTTGGAGTTTGCGCGTCTCTCTCTCTCTCTCTCTCCCTGTGGTTGTGTGGATTTTTCTCCGGGTTTTCCCCTCCATATTTAGAATGACTGTCACGTGTTCAGGGTATTTGGTCCCTAGCAATGTCCACGTGATAAGCCGCTTCTCATTGGGCTATCCATGTGACCGCCTGGTTGCTTCTTTAACCTGCTTGAATACAAACAAAGAGAGTAAAAAAAAAAGGTCGCTCACATGATCTGCCCTCCGATTGTTGACTTGCCAGCATCTACGGAAGGGAGGGGACGACACGACGCGGTGTGACGTTACGCGCGGTGCCGCTGCAGCTGTGACAGCGCATCCCCTGCGACCCGGCGGTGTGCTTCCACTCATTACTGATACGCGCGCGTATCAGTATGCGTGTATGTATGTGTGCATGTATGTGTTTGTTTGTGTTTATGTATGTGTGTCTGTGTGTGTGTCTGTGTGTGTGTCTGTGTGTCTGTGTGTGTGTCTGTGTGTGTGTGTGTCTGTGTGTGTGTGTGTCTGTGTGTGTGTGTGTGTCTGTGTGTGTGTCTGTGTGTGTGTATGTGTGTGTGTATGTGTGTCTGTATGTGTGTCTGTATGTGTCTGTATGTGTGTATGTATATGTGCATGTATGTGCATGTATGTGCGTCTGTATGTGCGTCTGTATGTGCGTCTGTATGTGCGTCTGTATGTGCGTCTGTATGTGCGTCTGTGTGTGCGTCTGTGTGTGCGTATGTGTGAGCGTATGTGTGTGCGTCTGTGTGTGCGTCTGTGTGTCTGTGTGTGTGTGTGTCTGTGTGTGTGTCTGTGTGTGTGTGTCTGTGTGTGTGTCTGTGTGTGTCTGTATGTGTCCATGTATGTGTGTCTGTATGTGTGTCTGTATGTGTCTGTATATGTGTGTCTGTATGTGTGTCTGTATATGTGCGTGTATGTGCGTCTGTATGTGCGTCTGTATGTGCGTCTGTATGTGCGTATGTATGTGCGTATGTATGTGTGCATCTATGTGTGTCTGTGTATGTGTGTCTGTGTATGTGTGTCTGTGTATGTGTCTGTGTATGTGTGTCTGTGTATGTGTGTATGTGTGTCTGTGTGTCTGTATGTGTGTCTGTATGTGTGTCTGTATATGTGTCTGTATGTTTCTGTATGCGTGTCTGTATATGTGTCTGTATGTATGTCTGTATGTATGTGTGTCTGTATGTGTGTCTGTATGTGTGTCTGTATGTGTGTCTGTATGTGTATGTGTGTCTGTATGTGTGTCTGTATGTGTGTGTGTGTATGTATGTGTGTCTGTATAGGTGTCTGTATAGGTGTCTGTATATGTCTGTATGTGTCTGTATGTGTGTCTGTATGTGTGTCTGTATGTATGTCTGTATGTGTGTATGTGTGTCTGTATGTGTGTATGTATGTGTGTCTGTATGTCTGTATGTGTGTCTGTATAGGTGTGTCTGTATGTGTGTCTGTATGTGTATGTATGTGTATGTGTGTATAGGTGTGTATGTATGTGTGTCTGTATGTGTGTGTATGTGTAAGGCGGTCGGGCGCGGTGTTGACCACCCACCCCCTCGTGTACCGTTCCGGCCTTCATAGGTGCTCGCTAACGGCACTTGCCCCTACAGTCTGTTAAGGCAATAGAGGGATCTTTGTCTTTGTGTGTATGCGTGTGTATGCGTGTGTGTGTATGTGTGTGTATGCGTGCGTATGCGTGTGTATACGTGTATGCGTGTGTGTATGCGTGTGTGTGCGTATGCGTGTGTGTGTATGCGTGTGTGCATGTGTGTGCATGCGTGTGTATGCGTGTGTATGCGTGTGTATGTGTGTGTGTATGTGTCTCTGTGTGTTTGGCCGGGTGGGGCTCAGTAGCGTAGCACGAGATCATCAACAGGCTAGGGGGGGCTCCGCGACGGTGCCAAGGCCCGGCTCGGCCAGGCCGCGTCGCGAGTCGGCGGACTGAGCGAGCGGGGACGACCGCCCTCGCCCCGGCGGCGGCGGCCCCGGCGGGGTGTGGGCGGGGCGGAGCCGTGCGCGCCACTCACCCACGTGGCCGATGAACACCACGTTCACGTGGTCTTTGCGCGGCCCCTCCGAGGGCTTGGGCGCCGGCGCAGGGACGGGGACCCCCTCCCCGTCCCCCTCCTCCTCCTCGGGGGTCTCCTCCGCCCCCCCTGGGCCCCCCGGGCTCTCGCTCGGAGGGGGTGCCGCCCCCCCCGCGTCCTCGCCGCCCCCCCCCACGTCCTGGGGGGGAGGAGGAGGAGGGGGCTCGTCCGAGGGGGGGCCGCCCCCCCCTCCGCCGCCTCCTCCGCCGCCTCCTCCGTCCGGTCGCTCCGGCTCGCCGCGCTCCTCCCAACTCTCGGCAGACTCGGGCTCTCCGTTCTCCAGCGGCGCTGGGAACGCCGCACGGCAATGTCGGCACACAGACGCGCGCGTGAGGGGTCAAGCGGCGCCGGGCCCCGGGGGGGGGGGGGGGGACATCTCCTCCGCCCTCCACCGGCACGAAGCGTGGTGACGATGACCTCGCCGAGGAGCGTAAAAAAAACCGTCGTGCCAACTGCGGTTTCCGCAGGCCGTCTGGAACGCTCCCCCTTCCGATAATGAGGAAGCTCAAACTGCTGGAGCCGTGCACTTTTAAATAATGGTCGTGACGCTGGGCTTCTTCTCGGGCCTCGCGTAGGCCGGTGCGAGAGAAGTTTCACGGTCACCGTATCTGGAAGGCTCTTTCCTTCCGACGTGAGCGAGCCACTGGAGCTGCACACTTTTAAATCACCACCACCATCATAATCTAGACTAACAAACTCGTTTCTTTAGAACTCATTGTCATTGATGCGTCTTGTTTGCTGTCCTTCCCCCGCACCGGCGCATCTCCGATTGGCTACTGTTGGCTACGTACTGTTGAGAAAACGTACAAACGTACAATCACTCCGTTGAGGCACACAGCCGCCCCCCTTCTCTTGCCTCATTCTCTCCTCCTGTGACATCTGTGAAAAAGAGCTTCGTAGCCCATCGATTCTTCCGGTGTAACTAAATATTCTGGTTCTGTGACAGCTCGTCGCCTAAGGGGGTCGAACGCGCCATTTGAACTCGCGAGACGTTAAAGACCCGGTGAGTGTAACTCTTTTCTTGGTTTCCTGATCATCTAAGCATTACTCGTAGTAAAAGCGATCGTCAGCAACAGCATCAACAGCGGTGGCAAAGGCAGAAGCATCAGCATCCAAGCCATCATCAGCAGCAGAGGCATCGTGTGCATCAGAGGCATCAACATTATGGCTATCAACATCGGCAGCAGTAGTATTAGCAACCGCAACAGCAGTAAGAACAGCAGGAGCAGCAGCATCAGCATGCAAGAGCATCAGCAGCATTATCAGCAAAAGTGGAAACAGTAGCATCAGCAGAGAACAGCAGTAGCATCGGCAAAAAGAGTAACATCAGCTGCAAGAGTAGCAAGTCGTCGTAGTGGCAGCAACAGTCGAATCATCATCATCATCAGAGTGCGTGCAGTGACAATGGGAGTGCTGTAGAATCTGCATCAGCAGCAGCATTGCAAACGGCAGTATCAGCAGCAGTAGAAACGGCATCATCAGCAGAATGTGTATGGAGTGACAATGGGAGCGCATCTGCAGCAGCATTAGAAACAGCAGTATCAGTAAGCAGCAGCAGTAGTAGTAGTAGAAGCAGCTGTATCAGCAGCATTATAAAGAGCATCATCATTAGCGTGCATGCGTGGTGACAATAGGAGCGCATCTGCAGCAGTATTAGAAACAGCAGTATCAGTAAGCAGCAGCAGTAGTAGAAGCAGCTGTATCAGCAGCAGCATTATAAACAGCATCATCATTAGCGTGCATGCGTGGTGACAATGGGAGGGCATCTGCAGCAGCATTAGAAACAGCAGTATCAGTAAGCAGCAGCAGTAGTAGAAGCAAGCTGTATTAGCAGCTGCATTATAAACAGCATCATCATCATTAGCGTGCATACGTGGATGACAATGGGAGAGAGCGTGGACACCTCCTGTCTTTGTGCTGGAGTCCAGCTCGGGCGCTCTGGGTTTGCTGTCCACGAGCGGCGCGGACGAGGGCTCTGCAGGACACACGCGGTCATCACGCGCTCGTCACACCTCCCATGCAGCTACAGTTGGCTACGCGCGGCGCCAAACAAGCCCGACGTACAGACGTACACGTGCGAGACGCACCAAGCGGCCCGGCCAGCCGGCCGCACACGCAGTGTGTGGCCACGAGAGGCGGAGTCTCGGCCACGGGCAGAGGACAAGGGAAGGTGTTGAGTCTCGGACTTGAACAGGGGGCAGGGGAGTCGACAGCACGGGTGGCTGGGGGGGGGGGGAAGGGATTTCCAGACTTTGGGGGGCAGCAGAGGAGAAGAAGCGACCGAGAGATTCGATGGAAATCCTTGGTTTGATGGGAGCAGAGACAGAGTGGAGTAGAGTGAGATGAGAGGGGAGAGGTAGGAGAGTGAGTGGAGGGGAGTGGAGTGAGATTATAGGGGAGGTAGGAGAGAAGTGAGATGAGAGGGGAGAGGTAGGAGAGTGAAGTGAGATGAGAGGGGAGAGGTAAGAGAGTGAAGTGAGATGAGAGGGGAGAGGTAGGAGAGTGAAGTGAGATGAGAGGGGAAAGGTAGGAGAGTGCGTAGAGGGGAGTAGAATGAGGGGAGAGGTAGGAGAGTGAAGTGAGATGAGAGAGGTAGGAGAGTGAGTGGAGGGGAGTGGAGTGAGATTATAGGGGAGGTAGGAGAGAAGTGAGATGAAAGGGGAGAGGTAGGGGGAGTGAAGTGAGATAAGAGGGGAGAGGTAGGAGAGTGAGTGGAGGGGAGTAGAGTGAGGGGAGAGGTAGGAGAGGGGAGAGGTAGGGGGAGTGAAGTGAGATGAGAGGGGAGAGGTAGGAGAGTGAGTGGAGGGGAGTGGAGTGAGATTATAGGGGAGGTAGGAGAGTGAAGTGAGATGAGAGGGGAGAGGTAGGAGAGTGAAGTGAGATGAGAGGGGAGAGGCAGGCAGGGGGCGAGTCCCCGGAAGAGCTAGAAGACCGAGTGCTACCGACGTGTGATCCGAGATTTCGCTTCCCGAGTAAAAACGTTGGCCAACCGCTCGATGCTGAAATGTTTTGCCGCCGGTTGCAAAACTCGGCGCAGGGCGATTATGCGCATGTTACACGCAGGCCCGCCAGCGTCACTTCGACGTGCGCTCTGCGCAAGCGACGTGCGCGCCGCCACCACCAAACAAACTTGGAAGCGTCGCGACGGAATTCTATTGCAACAGCAACCGCCTTGTGCCCTGCCAGGGAGACAGAGGGCGACTCAGAACGTTTAAATGTGGTTACGTGAAAGTTACCGCTGTTTACAGTACATCAAGCAGGTTACTTGTTGGCCGCTGCGGCTTTTGATGGGTGCGGAGAGTCGTCACGGCAGTGGTGCTCTCCGAGGTACCATCGCCATAGGTTCAATCCCAAGCTATGACTACCACTCTCTCTTCTGAAAGTAATTATGATATCCATTACCACCATCATCATCGCATGATCATTATCATGATTAAAATACCTTCATAATCATTATCATGATTAAAATACCTTCATAATCATTATCATGGTTAAAATACCTTCATAATCATTATCATGATTAAAATACCTTCATAATCATTATCATGGTTAAAATACCTTCATAATCATTATCATCACGATTACAATACCATCATACTTAGCCCTCCGAGGTTGATAAAATTGAACGCCACTCGACCCGACCAAATCACCCCAACGCGCCTGAACGTGCCCACATCTCAGAAGCCAAGCAGCAGGGCCTGAGCCCGGGCAGTCCCCGGACGGGCGATGGCCACGCACGCCATGCTCTTGCTACAGGGTGCTACCGCGGGGCGACGTGTTGGGCAGCACCGAGGGGACGGCACCGTCGGACCGCACCGCGTTGCCGCTACGCCCTCGGGCCAACAACGAAGCCCCTCCCCCCCCCCCCGCGCTGTGCAGCCCGCGCAAGTACGAACCACGCGGCCCCCGGCACGGCGTGGGCAGGCCCTCATCCAGCAGTGGACGGACACGCGGCCCCGGCCCGCCCGCCCCGCGCAACTCGCGTCCGTTTGGCTCCCCCCCCCGAAGGCAACCTTGACCCCACGCACTTTGCCGAGTCGAGCGCCACAAATAACCACCGCAGAGTATTGAGGCGGGGGGGGGGGGCCGCGAGAGGCGGGTCATTGTGGGAACAACCACAACACGTTCGCGGGGGGCTGTGCGTAAACACGCCGGCGCCGCCAGCCGCCCTCACTCTGTGCTGCCCGTCCAGGCCGTCTTGCGTCCCGCTGGGCAGGCTGCTAGACTCTTGGAAACCTCATTTGTCAGTAACAAAATATGATAATTGTTTTTTTTTTTACCCTTTTATCTGGCAATAAAACTGACACCTTTTTTTTTACAAGGAGTCATGTTTACATTGACCACAAAACCTGCGGTCGGAACGCAATGATGGTGCATTGTCTTTGAGTTGTGCGCCTTTTGGCGTCTTCTGGTCCAACACCAACGTGTGAGACGAGGCTCTAAAGAAAGCTGTCTCGGGTGTGGACCAATCAATTTCAAGGACAGTGCCACATACATTATCAGAGTTGTTGTTTTTTGTTTGCGTTCCGACCGCAGGTATTGTGGTCAATGTAAACATGACTCCTTGCAAAAAAAAAGGTGTCAGTTTTGTTGCCAGATAAAAGGGTAAAAAAACAATTATCAGACTGCTAGGCTGCTTGTTGCCAGCAAGGGAGTGCACGGTTCGGCCTCATCAACCATGATTTATCCACAGCTAGATGAAGTGTGGCCTCCCCCTCCCTCCCAAGCCACGGAGCGCTCTTCCCGTCCGATATTAGGATGCCGCTGGGAGCTGTGCACTTTTAAATCGTCATCATCTAGATTGACGAGCTCGTTTCTTGTAGAGCTGCTTCCTCTGTTTCGTTTGTTACCCTCGCCCCTGCCCCTCCGCTTAGCGGGGTTGGCTATGTAGGGTGCAGAAGAAGTTCAACATACACGGTGATGGAGTGGGTAGGCAAACGTGCTAATGGCGTACAGTAGTGTGGTGTACAGTAGTGTGGTGTATAGTAGTGGTGTATAGTGTAGTGTAAAGTATTTAGCACAGCATATAGTAGTGTGGTGTATAGTAGTGTGTAGTATAGTAGTGTAGTGTGTAGTAGATAGTCGTGCAGTGTATAGTGTTTAATGTAGCATATAGTAGTGTGGTGTATAGTAGTGTGTAGTATAGTAGTGTAGCGTGTAGTAGTGTAGTGTATAGTCGTGCAGTGTATAGTGTTTAATGTAGCATATAGTAGTGTGGTGTATAGTAGTGTGTAGTATAGTAGTGTGTAGTAGTGTAGTGTATAGTCGTTCAGTGTATAGTGTTTAATGTAGCATATAGTAGCGTGGTGTATAGTAGTGAAGTGTTTAGTTGCGTAAAAGTGTAGTGCTGTAGAGTTTTGTTATAAAGTGTTTTGTGTAGCGTATAGTAGTGTGGTGTATAGTAGCGTGTATAGTTGTGTATAACTGTGTAGTCTAGTAGCTTTGTATGTAGAACTTATTTCGCACCGTGCGTAGCCAACCGTGCTAATTACTCTTGACGGAGCCTACCCAAGCCCATTTACCTTTGTTAGCAGGCACAGTGATGCCTTCAGCACGTGGAGATTACTTCAATTTGTTTTGGCTGCTTCACATTTCCACGTACGACGATAAGCCACTTCGTTGAGCTATCATTTGTGGCCAAGTCGCTGCTGAGAAAAAAGTTCGTAGCTAAGGGGGTTCTACACCTGGTAAGATAAAAATTGTTTTTCAAAATATATACACAAAACTCGAATGATTTGTTTACCCTTCGTATACTTTGCACGCCTATCGTGTTTTTTTGTATTGTTCGTTGTTGTAACGTTCTGACCCCGTGCCCCTCCTGGACATCTGTGAAAAAAAGAGCTTTATCGGCCAGGATAAAACACCTTCTGATTGCAATGGATTTTTATTTTACCGGGTTAGGCCCCACCGAGCTACATAGAAGGCCTTCATCTTCTTTGGTTCTTTCGGTAAAGTCACGTAGAATGAGAATAAAATAATAAATTGATAAACTAAAATAACACAATATTCTCACGACGTTTCGGCCACAACACAAGCGGCCTTCATCAGGTGAAGGGACGAGACTGTCTGGTAGGACAGCACTGTCCTCCGAAACGTCGTGAGAATTTTATTGTGTTATTTTATCAATTTATTATTTTATTCTCATTCTACGTGACTTTACCGAAAGAACCAAAGAAGATGAATCCTTGCAGTCACGAAAGCTTTCAATCGAAATAGAAGGCCTTTTCAGCAGCGACCTGGTCATCACAAATCATCGCTCGACCAAGCGACTTCACACGACGTGGAAACGTATCGCGGCCAAAAACTCGAAAACGCGTGGTGATGTTGATTCTAAATGCGGAGGTGAAAAAAAAAACCGGAGGACCCGGAGAGAAATCCTCGTGGCTCTGGGTAAAGAGAGGGAACATCCAAACTCCAGACATATACAGGAGGCGTCGGGGTCGGGATCGAACCCACGAGCCTCCTGCACAGCAAGCGAAGTCGTGAACATCTCCTCGCCACCGTGGCGCCCTTGTTAGCGGGGGTCCCACAGAATGATTGCTGCACCACGCAGGGCCCCCCCCCCCCCAATGTGCGCCTGAGGCGAGATTGATGTGTGGGGGTGTGGGGGGCATTCCCGACGGTTTAGTCAAGAGGCTCGCACGCGTGTGTCCGTGGTGCCACCATCACGTGGGACACGTGATGGTACCACGACAGGCCACGGTTCACGACCGCGCCCCCCCCCAACCCCCCCACTAGTTAAACAAATGTCCGCGTTCACCACGGCCACGTGTTGTCCGGCTCAGTCCAGCGCGACTCTTAGGTCGACTCAGCCTTAAACGAGTGCCGGTCGACTCGGCACGGCGCGCGGGGGAGACAAAGGCGGCCGGACGTGCATCCTTAATGTGCGCTCCCCTTTAACAGGCACCTCCGACCCTACACGGCAAGAGGCATCAACCAAAAACGAGCAGTGGACAGAGCCTGGAATCCCCCGGGGGCTGCACGTGGGGATTCGAGTCGCGTGCCGGCTGGTGACTTTTTTAAAACTACAGCTTCAGAGTCTCGTTCACGGCGTTTTCGTGCAAGCGTGTGAACGCGCACGCTCACACACGGTACTGCGCGTTTAACCTTTCTAAAGGTTTTAAACTTTAAAAGACGCGATCGCGTTTTTGGAAAAAGCCTGCGGCCTTGCGACACGCCCGTTTGCATTCCCCAGTCCGCTTAGGCGCGGCGCGAGCCTCTATTGGTTCGGAGGGGGCTCACATGACATCGGAAGGCCAATCACGGGCGAGAGCGCGCCTAAGCGGACTACCGATTACATACGACGGGGTTCGCGTTGTAACCACCCCCCCACCACGTCTTTCTTATCCACTGCTGGATGAAGGCCGCCGCCCTCCTTCCCTCCGCGCTCTCCAGCCACGACTTCCACCGCTCCATCTCCCCCCGGCTGCCGCTCCTCGCCTCGGACGCCGGTTACTACAATCATCAGCCAGCGGCCAATCCACCGCTGGATGAATTCCAACCCCCAAATGTTGCAATGTTGCGAGGCGACGCTCATCGGCTCCTTTATCCTCGCTGGCTGCGCGTTCCTATCGCTCAACGTGGCGGGGTTTAAACAACAACAACTACAACAACAACTACTACCGCTACACACAACAGCTGCCGTGCAGAAGATGCCCCGAGAGGGTTCAAAGACTCCAGCGCCGAGTGTGCCCGGCGCCAAACGGCACTCTCCAAGTTGCAACGACGCGTATTGTTTGTACCGTTCTTCGTTATTGTCGTTGATTAGAACAAGGCCGTGCGCGTCGTTAAACTACGACACAGGGGCCCGTCGCGTGGGAGAGGAACGCGGCGGGCGAGGAGCGCGAAGTGCCGGCTCGAGTGGACAGAGGCGCGCACCGCTCATGAGGAAGGAGGGCACGAAGACGGCTGCGTTCACGTTGAGGTTCGTCACCGCGGCGTTCATGGACTCCGCGTCCTGGTCCCAGCAGTCGGGAGCAGAGTCCTGCGTCTCCATCGCCTTCTCCATGCGGTCGTCTCTCCCCCCCCTCTAGCCCTCCTCGTCTTCACCCCTCTACCCTCCTCGTCAACCCCTCTAGCCCTCCTCGTCTCCCCCCTTCTAGCCCTCCTCGTCTTCACCCCTCTAGCCCTCCTCGTCTTCCCCCTCTACCCTCCTCGTCTCCCCCTCTACCCTCCTCGTCTTCACCCCTCTAGCCCTCCTCGTCTTCACCCCTCCAACCCTCCTCGTCTTCGCCCCTCTAGCCCTCCTCGTCTTCCCCCTCTACCCTCCTCGTCTCCCCCTCTACCCTCCTCGTCTCCCCCTCTACCCTCCTCGTCTCCCCCTCTACCCTCCTCGTCTCCCCCTCTACCCTCCTCGTCTCCCCCTCTACCCTCCTCGTCTCCCCCTCTACCCTCCTCGTCTCCTCCTCCTCGTCGTCGTCGTCGTCCCAGGCGAGGGTTTCGCGGGCAGCTGAAGCGAGGAGGCCGCGTGGGGCGCCCGGAATGGAGGCGCGAGGAGGTGGACGAGGCCTTTGCGTCGTGACGTCACGCGAGAGCGGACATGACGTCACGCGTGCAGCAGTGAATGGCGCGCTCGTGACGTCGGCGCGAGAACGGGCAACGGTTGCGTCACGACGTCACGGACGAGCGCTCGACGGTGCGGCATTACGTCACGCGCAAGCGGTAAATGGATTGTCGTTACGTCACGCGCGATTGCTCATCGGTGCGTCGTTACGTCACGCGCGAGCGCTCATCGGTGCGTCGTGACGTCACGGGCGAGCGCTCATCGGTGCGTCGTGACGTCACGGGCGTGCGCTCAACGGTGCGTTGTGACGTTCTTAATATACAATTTTCTTGCGGCGTGACGTCGGAAACGGGGATGCTTGCGTACTTGTCACGGATGAGAAGAAAACGTTACGTCGTGACGTCACGGCAAGGTGGAACGCGTATGTTGTAACGTCATTTGCAACATTGAGAAACGTCATTTGGGGAGACGGAGGTTTTTACGTCGAAACGTCATATCACAGTGGGGCATCGTGACGTCATTAAGAAAAGTTGTAATGCGTAATGACATCAGAAAAGGCGGTGCTTGCGGCGTGACATCATTAACGGGGGGGTGTAGTTTTGCGTCTTGAGGCCAACTGGGCTTGTGAAATGACGTCAGAACATGAGCATGAGGTGATGTTTACATAATGACGTGCCCACCGTAGCGACGTCACAAACGTGGGGACGTCACGTTGCTATCGGAACATGACGTCATATAACTGGGCGGACTTCACGCGCAACTGAGGGACCGGTTGCGTTCTGAGATGGTTAAAAATACGTCACGCTGGAGATGACGTCATGCACAACAAATGTCACTCGTGCGCTCTCCGCGTTCTGAACAGCTACCTCGTTAGTGTAACACGCAGCAGACTTCCGCGACCAATGTCATCCCTAATTACTGGCGAAACGTCGTACTCAGACTGTAAATGTTGTGGTCTGGCTCCAACACACAACCGGTGTGCTGTACTAGTGACGAATTGGCCACGTTCTGTTTAAGTGACAACCCTTAGGGGCCGTCCATAAATGACGTCACGCGATTTTGGACGATTTTTTGACCCCCCCCCCCCTCTCAAATATGACGTAACAAAGATCTGCCCCCCCCCCCCAAAAAAAAATAAACCATGCTTCAAATCGCTTTAAACTATTGTCATTGTAGTGCGTATTTAATGTGGCGCTGTACTCTGATGTTGTAGGAGAAACATTTATTAAAAAGTATATTTAATTAAGTAGAACGTGTCGCCTATATGTATTTAAAGTTGCGCATTTTGATGTGACGTCACATTTCTCAAACCCCCCCCTCGTCATACATCGTCACAAATGTCTGACCCTCCCCCCCCCAGGTGCGTGACGTCATTTATGGACGGCCCCTTACTCGTTGGCTGTGTCGGGTGGTGGCGGGTTTAACGACACATTGATATACTTACGCGATTTAACAAAAAAAAACCTCTATTATGGAGCAAGCTCGTTGCTTACGTGAAGACCAGATCCAGCCAACTTTATAGTTATAAGCGATTTATATTTCTTATGTTATACAAGTATTGTACATGTTCACATCTAACAAAAAAAGTAAACATTGTGCCAATAAAAGCGAGATTGTAGTTGACTGTGTCCGTGGCACCACTGCCAACGCAGCAGTGGTAGCAGCGTCAGCAAACCGTTTCGACTTGGTGGTGGTGGATCATCACGTGGTGGTGGTGGATCATCACCACGTGGTGGTGGATCATCATCACGTGGTGGTGGTGGATCATCATCACGTGGTGGTTCATCATCACGTGGTGGTGGTGGATCATCATCACGTGGTGGTGGATCATCATCACGTGGTGGTGGATCATCACGTGGTGGATCATCATCACGTGGTGGTGGATCATCATCACGTGGTGGTGGTGGTGGTGGTTTGTGGATCATCACCACGTGGTGGTGGATCATCATCACGTGGTGGTGGATCATCATCACGTGGTGGTGGTTTGTGGATCATCACCACGTGGTGGTGGATCATCATCACGTGGTGGTGGATCATCACCACGTGGTGGTGGATCATCATCATGTGGTGGTGGATCATCACCACGTGGTGGTGGTGGATCATCATCACGTGGTGGTGGTGGATCATCATCACGTGGTGGTGGTGGATCAATACCACGTGGTGGGATCTTGGAGTACCCGTCACGACACGTGCCAGAAGAGAGTTGTGTACGCGCTGCAGCTTGTTCATGTTCTTGCCAGACGTCCCGTAGAGCGGCGAGTTGCAATGACCGAGCCTTGTCGATACGACGCTGCACGCCGCCGTGTTGAGCTACGTCGCGACTCAATAGCGTGCAAATGCGTAGTAGAGCCCTTGCAGGCCCTCACTATATTTCGCACGTGGCGATCGAACGACATTCTGGTGGAGTTTGGCTCCGAGGCTCAACTGCGTCGGCCACACCTGGGTCCTCCCACGATTTCCTTTCACCTGAGCCCGAGTGCCAACCAGCAGAGAGGAAGTTTAATTAGTCATGGGAATAAACAAAAAACCCTTTTATTTTAAATATTTTACCAGGTTAAGGCCCCCGCTGGGCTGTGAAGCGACCTGGTCTCAAATGATCGTTCAAAGAAGTGGCTGATCATCACGTGGACACTGAGCCCTTTTTTTTCAGCTCTTTTTCAGAAGCGACCAGGCCATCACAAATGATGGCTCCAACGCAGTTGGCTTATCGCCACGTGGAAATTGATCACAGCGTGGCGATGTTGATTCTAAATGTGGGAGGGAAACACCGGGGGACCCGGAGAACAATCCACGCGGCCACTGGGAGAGAGAGAGAGAGACCCGCAAACTCCAAATATCCAGCAGCAGGCGTCGTCAGGGTCAAACCCACCGTGACACCATAGAGATGCCTCGTCACCTCTCACAGTGACACCAAAGGCAAAATAAATATCTTCCCGTACAGCCTTAGCTGACCGTCGGGGCAAGTGCCGTTAGTGGCGAGGAGCAACCTACGGAGGCTGGCACGGGTACACACGAGGGGGAGAGGATGGGTCGTAAGCACTACGCCCGGCCGCCTTTATCTCTCCCGTTGTTACACACCGCACCAGGTGTCGTCATTTGAGGCCGAGTCGACCTCGGGGATGTCCAGAACAGGTTCCGATTGACGCCACCGGCGTTGGTCGTGAGCACGAATCGAACTCGGATCGTTCGTTTCGCAAGTATGCTCACCACGAATGCCACCCGTCGCTCTCAATACACACAAACCCATCGCACACAGCACCGCGGCGGTTGTGCCAGGCTAGGTGTACACAAAGGCAAACAGCACCTATGAAGGCCGGTACGGCACACGAGGGGGTGGGTGGCCAGCACCACGCACGGCCGCCTTTGTCTCCCCACTGGCGATGTTTTACACATCGCACCGGGTACTCATTGGAGGCTCAATCGACCGAGGGGAGGCCCAGCGCCGGTTCACACAGTCGAACTCGGGTCGCCGGGTTCGTAGCGCAGCTGTTAGCAAGCACCGATATGTGGTGTACACACAGACACACACACACGGCTTGCTCACAAGGCCTGACGATGCTTAACAAATGCCCCACAAATTGCCATTTAAGGCGCAAACGCATCCATAATTGCCCCTTTGTCTCCTCTGCGCGCTATCGCTGGCTGCACAAAACGATCCCTAATTGGCCGTCGCCAGAACTCGCCACATAATTGACGGGAGGTGGCTGGGTGTAGGGGTGGAGGTGGCTGGGTGTAGGGGTGGAGGTGGCTGGGTGTAGGGGTGGAGGTGGCTGGGTGTAGGGGTGGAGGTGGCTGGGTGTAGGGGTGGAGGTGGCTGGGTGTAGGGGTGGAGGTGGCTGGGTGTACGGGTGGCTCTGGGTGGGTGGGTTCGTTGTTTGGCCGTTCGAGTGAACGAGTGGTGTTTGCGTGTGCTTTGTTGGTGGTTGAGTGACTGGTGGGTAGTTAGGTTGAGCTGTGGGTATTTTGGTGGTCTGTGGGTGAGTGGTGTTTGCTGGGTGGTTGTGTGAGTGGAGGTAATAGTGGGTGACTGGCTCTTCGAGTGAATGGTGGGTGTGTGAGTTGTGGTTGTAGGTGAATGTTCGTGGGTGGGTGGTTGTTTGAGTGAATGAATGGTGATTGTCGGGTGGTTGTTGGTGCGCGTGCCTGCGTTGTGGTGGCGAAGAGACGCTAAGCCCCCCTCGCCTGCCTCGCAGGACACAACGCCAGTTCGATGCCGGACCCTGGCGATCGATGCCTGCCGTTGTATATTTGGAGTCCGTGTGTTCTCTCTCTCTCTCTTCCCCGTGGTGGTCGTAGCCTGGATCCTTCTCCGGAGTTCCACTCCAATTTTTGCCCTCCTCCTCCACCACCACATTTAGAATCAACACGCGTCTGGGTTATTCGGCTGCTCCTGCTGTTGCTATAAAGCCCCACGTGGTGGTGGTGATGATGACGACGATGATATCAGCCACTGCGATCGTGATGAGCTATCATCGCGGGTGGCAGGATCGTCTCCGAACAAGATCTCACAGTTCACCTGGTAAATCAGAAGATAGTTTAGTTTGTGTACGTGTACGCGGTGTGCGCGTTTTGTCCGCGCGTTGTGAATATCAGATCAGAATAATTATTTGTACTGCAGGAGGAATCCGATGAGCTACAAAGCTCTTTTC